TTTTTTATCATGGAAGTAAATGTAAAACATGCAATCTTTGATTGATTGATGCAATCGTGACTTTTTTTCATTGATGGGTTGATTGCAATGAGTCCTAACAACAATGCTTTGATGTCAATCACAATAACGTAATTAATGGTGTCTAATCGGATAAACATCAATCGAATTCCAGCAAAAAAATCAACATGATAGCCGAAATTGAGAAGTCATGATGCGAGATTGCTATGGACATGACTCGATTCTGTATGACCAATATGATACCCAGTTCAATCCCTTTTGCTTACTTTTGAAATCCAAAGTACTGGGAATTTGAGGACTCTAAAAAAACACCGATAAAACATAATTGTATCCATAACGAATTTTGGTAATGAGCTCAAAACTGAAATCGATTTTTTGAAAATCATTATTCTGATTGATTTCATAGAATACTATTTCATCTTTATCAAAAGCATATTTTGAGGTTTCATCTGTTTCTCCAGCATATGGCTAAAGTGTTTTACTTTTAAAAAGTTTTGGTCGTTCTTTATTTTATTTTGGAGTTTACTTTTTTGTCAGTTTTTTAGGAAGAAGTGAATGGGAACAGTTATTTTTGTCAATGCAACTCTCTATTTGCATTGAAGATCTTCAAATTTACTTGCCAGTCTCTTAAAGCTGGCTTATGAGTTGTCATTGAAAAATTTCTTTGAAGCTGATGGCCCCAATCTAATTGTAGAAACAAATCCTTGTCATTTGGAAAGATTTCAAACATTGCTTCGTTTGATCCTTCCAAAATCAACAAGATAGAGCTTTGGCCGGTCAAAAATTGTTAGTAATTTTTCTATTTGGATTGAAAATAGAGGTTGAACTTCTGTTTTGTTCAGTGTATTTTTTGTGAATAGTTATGCAATTGATTTTAATGTGTCCACAGTACTGTTGTTCGTCAAGTTTGGGAGCTTTTGAAATAGGGATGAAAATGAGTTGAGCAATTTTGGCTGCGCTTTAAAATTTATACTGTCAAATAATTGTAGCAAAATAAATATTTGGCTAAACGAAATTCTTGTTTGCTTAATAGAACAGTTTGTTTTTTTTATAGATTCGTTTTTTGAATTTACTGATGTTATCAAGGTTTTGCGAGTTGACTTGAGTTACTAACAATTGACTTACTAACAGGCACGATACCATTGATTGCTTTGAGCAGGATTTTGCAAACGACTGATGTGACCTCAATTTTTGATATTTAACACATGAAGCTCCTCAGTTGAATAGGTTTCAATTGTACCATGTCCTGCAGAATAGATAATTTTCTCACGTTCGTTTTTGATGGGTTCGCTCCGTCTTTTTCGATGGTAAACAGAAAATTGATGGCCAAAAAAGAATTATCATTGAGCATTTTTAATAAACTCAGCCAGTTTGATATTGGAGGATCTGAAATTATTATTAGGTGTACAAAGGTGTCCTTTACAGCCTGTTCATACGAATTTTAATTCAAATGGTTACCTTATTTTGTCTCCCAAGATGATCAAGGTGCTGAATTTCACGTCGTCATTTGGTTTAAGAAGTGAGAGATGTTGTCAAATCAAAAACTTGCGAGTATTGTCTTTGTTAGGGTGAATTGACAAAACACAGAAAACAACCAAGCACTTGCTTCTTCCTGCTGTTGCTAGTTTAACAAGTCCCTTATCCTTTTTATTTTTTTTTGTATGATTTACCACACAACAGTAGAACGTTTAACATAGCAAATACATCAAAATTTATGATTTTCTTTAAGCGCTGGAAGCGTTAAGCTTTTACATTTTATGTTTTGACTATCTTTCTAACAGTACAGTAATTTTCCAAAATTAGCATAAAAGGATTTCCCTTTCAGTGGTGTTCCCTTTCAGTAGTTAACAAAATCTATTTTCCCGATGCATCAATAATTTCAAATTGATAATTTTAACACATCTTGGTTGCGTTAGAAAAAAATTTAAACGTTAAAAAAATAGATTAGTGAAACTAATTTTAAAATCATTTAAGAGACAAAAACTCCTTCGAATCTGAGAACAGAAGTATCAAAGCAAAATTTCCAAGACCTTCTATTGGTTTTGACTTGTTTTTAAAGTAATTTGACAGCTATAGTCGCATCAGCCTCGTAAAAGTTTTTTCAGATATCAGGATTTGAAACTGGTTTTCAAGCATATGGCTAAAAATTTTGTCTTTTAAAAGTTTTAGTCATGCTTTATTTTTTTTGCAGTTTTTTCTTTTGTCCGTTTTTTTAAAAAAAAAAGTGAGAATCGTTTTTTTTGTCATTGCAATTCTCTAATTGCATTGTAGATCATTATATTCGTTTGCCAGTCTTTCAAAGCTGGCTGAAGAATTGTCATTGAAAAATTTCAATGAAGCTGATGACACCAATCTAATTGTAAAAAAAAATTTTGTCAAACAATGTTTAATTTAAACCTTCCTTCTCTAATATCAAATTAGTTGGAGCTCAGAAAACTTACGTTCTCCTTTTTTTATTGGCGTCGAAAACAATATAGGTTACGGATCTTTTTGTCAGTGGATGGCTTCTTGTAATTTTTTTCAAAAGGAATGTCAGTTTTGCTATATTCACAAAATCACCAAAGTGGAGAATGGGCCGGTCAAAAAATATTACCATTTCTTGCATTTTGAATGAAAATAAAAATTGAACTTCTATTTTGTTCAGTGTTTTTGGGTTATTTTTGTGAAGCGGTTTTTTTTTGAGTTTAATGTGTCGACAGTACTGGTGTTTGTCAAGTCTTAGAGCTTTCAAAATAAGAATGAAACTGGGTTAAGCAATTTTAGCTGCGCTGCCATTTTTCTACTGTCAAATACTTGAAGCAAAATGTTTGTGTGCTTATTAGAACAGCATGTGTTTTTAGATTCTTTTTTTTTGGATTGTTTGATGTTTTTATTGTTTTTTCGAGTTGATTTGAGTTACTAACAATTGAGTTAATAGCGGGCACAATGCCGTTGGTTGCATTAATCAGGCGTGTTTGCAAACGACTGACCTGCCCTGAACTTTTGATTTTTAACTGATAAAGCTCCTCAGTTGATTTGATTTCAATTGTACCATGCCCTGCAGAATAGATGCTTTTCTCATGTTTATTTTTGATGGATTCGCGTCCGTCTTTTTAAATGGTAAACAGAGAATTGATGGCCTAGAGAGTTTTATAGTTGAGCACTTTTCATAATCTTAGACAGTTTGATGTTAGGTGATCTAATTGTATTAGTAGGTGTACGAAGATGTCCTTTAGAGTCTTTTCATGCGAATTTCGTATAAAATTGTTACACTATTTTGCTTCCCATGATGATATAGCTGCTGAATTTCACGGGGTTATTTGATTTGTAATATGAGAGATGTTGTCAAATCAAAATTTTGTTCCCATTGTCTTTGTTAGGAAGATATAGGCTTAACAGAGATAACAACCAAGCACTTGCGTCTTTCTGCTGTCGCTAGTTTACTAACGCCTTTATCATTTATCTTTTTTGCATGAGTCATCGCACATCAACAGAACGTTTTCAACGTTTCTCAAAATAGCAAATACAGCAAGTTTTACGACTTTTATTTAAACGCTGCCACTATTAAACTTTTCCAGATTAAATTTTGAGCATATTTCTAACACAACAGGAATCTTCCAAAATTAGCATAAAATGTTTTCGCTTTCAGTAGTTCTGCCTTTCAGTAGTTAGCCAAATCTTTTTTTTCCGATGCATCAATATTTTCCAATTGTTTTTTTTTCACAACTTAGTTGCTTTAAAAAAATTGAACATTGTAGAACAAGAGTTAAGTGAAACTAAAAGTCATTTAAGAGATAAGAACTGCTTCGGATCTGGAAACAGCAGTATCAAAGAAAAACTCCAAGTTATTCGATTGTTTTGGATTTGTTTTTAAAGTAAATTGACACTTATAGTCGCATCAGCCTCATCAAGTGTTTTTCCAGATATCAGGATTTGAAATTGGTTTTCATTCACTCTTTTTTTCTCTCTGTCTTGCTTTCTCTACCTGTCTGATTTTGTACCTACATCAATTGTTTCTTACCGCGAAAAATATATGTTCCCCTAAAAAGTGTTTTATTCTTAACAAGAGTTTTAGTTTTTTATAAAAAAATTAACCTCTGTAATCATTGGTAGTGTTGTCATTATCAATTAATTTCACTACACATTTGGGACATTTTCAATTTCGCATGATAAATGTTTTAGTTTAGTGTGTTTTCTTTCATTATTTTCTTATTTTCCTGATGTAGGTCAAAGCCGCTATGATCCAATTGAAGTTCAAACTGACATATGGGAACTAAGACTAGCTTGCGAATATAAACTCTACTCTTCCTGGCTAAGCTTTCTTTCTGCTGCACCATTTGACACCGACAACCAATGCGTTCTATTCTTTTCAACGATAAATTGATTTCACTATCTGGATTCATCCAAGCTCAAAACCCCCAGTCTCCTTTTCTGTTGGTCTCAAGCTGTTGCTCAATCTCAGCCAGTCACATTACCTGTTGTTTTTTTTTCAGGGCGCAATGATTCCTGAATTTTAATAATGTAAAGTTCTGGTCCAATTTGCATAAGTTTTGCGCTGTAACTATCCAAATTTCTGGCTACCCTATGCAACAGCCTTCTCAATTTTTTTGATCCTTAACACCTTTTTACTTGGGTTAATAAAAAAAAGATCGTGAAATTTTTTAACTATTAAATAAGGAAAAAGATGTTCTCAAAAAATTGGGGGTGAAAAGGTTAGTACATCCGTTTGTGATTATCAAAAATAACCCAACCCTGGCCCTGCCCTTAGTAATTATACGAATAACTCAACGTTAAATTTTTTAGTTGGATGTGCTATTTTTTGAGAAGGAGAGAATTGTGGGTTTTTGAGATGGCAATTGTGTTGCCTCAATCAGCATTAAAAATGGAGTTTAAGAGCTCTTTAAAAAACTTTTCAGTACTTTGTGGCTTTTGTTAATATTCGAAGACCTGCTTTTTTTGAATGTTAAACAAAAATAAACTACTATCATAAGCCGCAGCTGCAAACTGTGAAACGCAATTAGAATTTTCACTCGCTCATACAAAATACATACGAAGATTCTTACTAAAATGAAGCAAAAGTACTGTTTGAATAACCACCAAAAAGCAGATTTCAATCTCGTTAATAAAGACAATAATAAAAAACAAGATACGATTACAACTTTTTCGCATGAAAGTGACGATGGCAACTCCGTCAAGATGAACATCGTTCATCCAACAGCTGGTGACGAAAAGAGCAACGGCAACATCAACTTAGCTGAAATGACTACTAATAAAGGAAATGAAAAAGGACCCCGGACACTAAACAAGCAGAGCACGTCTTTCCTGGCAGAAGTTTCACAGGTAAGTGTCGAAAATTTCTTCTTTATGTGAAAAAAAAAGTTTTTTGATTGTTTTAATCTATTTAGAAGTTTTAGCAAATGAATCAAAACTGCAAACTAACAAAATTTTGAACGATATTTGGTTTTCACCAGAAAATTAATCTAGCAAGGAAGGTAGCCTATCTTTCCGAAATGAGCCTCTTGTGAAAAAATTTTCCAAAACGAGTGATTTTTGAACTGCTTTTCAAATTCTCTTTTTGGATAGTATCAATGTTAGTTGAATAAAGTCGAAAGAATTTTTCTTTTTGCATCCGTATGGCCAAGTGAAGGCAATTTTAGATTGAGAGAGTTGAAATTTGAAGCAAGAAGCAAATACGTTAATGAATTTACCATCAATGATTTGACCATTAATGGTTTAGGTAATCCATTCGGCGACCTTATGTCAATTTATGTTTTAAACTGCTTTGAAACTTTTGAGCGACACAAAAATCAAATTTATAAAAATAACTCGAGACAATCCAGAAAGTAATTCTCTTCATTTTAATCTGAAAATGGAATGATAACAATAAATATTCCGACTTCGAAGAAAACGGAATATTTATGCTCGGAGTGGTTTTTTTATTCAGTCAATTTTCGCCGATCGAAATAACAGTTTTCAGCAAAAAAATTTATACCCCATTGAAGATATAGAACTCCTAAGTTCAAATTCAAAAAGATATTTTGACCCCGATTATTTTCTTCAAAGTTCTGGGGGTTTGAAAAATGATAAATTGACAAATTGGCCATGTTCTGGACTACATTATGCGCGCTTTGAAGAGATTATTTATAAAGCTGAGAGCGTAACGCGAATTACTTATGCGTGAACAATTATCCCGCTCAACAAAATCGTTCCAAATTGTTTTAATTTCGTACGACTCAAATTTTTACACTTTGATATTGTAGGTTTTCAAAATTTGCTTTTCCCAAAACCTAATTAAGGGACAGTCGCAACATTCAGGGCTTTGCCCTGATATACGAGCAGTCTTATTTGGATTCAAACCTGATAGTTATAGTTTTTGAAACAAAACAAGACTGCTCGAGTATCAGGCAAAGCCCTGAAAGTTCCGACTGCCCCTTAATTCATATCGAAAAGTTTTCAGGAAAAAAAATATTGAAAATCTATAAATTTTGTAGAGTCTCAAAGTGTGAAATGTATACGACCAATCTGGTTAGCTAACCTCTATTCAATTAGAAACGGTTTTGTTGTGCGAGATAACTCGCCACGCATAAATAATTTGCGTTACGCTCTCAGCAATATGATTAAAATCCTCAAAGCGCGCATAGTTCAGTCCAGAACATAGCCAATTTGGCAATTTTCAAACCCCCAGAACTTTACAAAAATAATCAGAGGTAAAATATCTTTTTACATTTGAACTCAAGGAGTCGATATCTTCAATGGGGTTTAAATATTTTTTGTCGAAATCTATTATTTTGAGGCGAAAATTGACTGAATAAAAAAACCACACCGAGCTTAAATATTCTGTTTTCTTCGAAAGTCGAAACAAAAACTGAACACTAAACTAAAATGAGAGTGATCGTTATCGTAAATCCGTTAGGACAGTGCAAAAAAGTTGCTGAAGCATCTTCTGTGCCTACACTTTTTCGAACCCAGCAAAAATTAGTTCTATTTGAATGAAATAGTAATTCAGCTGTCAAAGTTTTCAAAATTTTGAAACTGTTTAGACCAGCGTAAGTAGAAAACATTGATATATTTTTTTTTAGTTTAATTTTCTATCATTCGTTCTTTTTCAATTGGGCGATTAAATTTATTTCAGATGTTCAAATGTTTTCTTCAAACTCATAAGTGAACTTTGTGAAGAGTTAAAATGACGGAGGCGGGGCTATTTCCGTAAAAAAGCCCCCCCCCCCACCCAATTCTAGGGCGAAGCGCTTGAATTATTCGAATGATGTCAGTTTTTCTTCCATCGTAAGCTCGGTCGAAGTAAGTTCTTGATCAGACTGAATCGAGGTTTCATTGAAACAGGCTTTATTCAATTGTTAAAAAAAGAATTGAACTATAGCTCAAAAACTGCCTAATTTCGATCGAAAACTGCCTTTATAATACCGTTCTTATTTAAAAAACAAGCTGAAACAACTCAAGTAAACATAAAAGGCAATAAATAAAACAATGCTTACTGTAATTTAAACTACAATTATTTCATAGCAAATGATAGTTGAAAACAGTCGAGCTAACTCGAACGGCAAGATTTTTTCACCCGCATAGTTGACCTTTTTCGACCATTTTTGGCAAACTCTAAGTCGGTCAAGCATATCAGCTCCTGTTGTAAAACATCAATTTTGTTTTTTTTTTAAATATTTACTAAGAAAAGCAAAAAAACTAACAAGGATAGGCGGTAACTGTGCAAGTAACAATGAATGCTACAAACATAGTCTTAAAAAATACTTTTTTTTTTCAAATTAGTGTCGTTTTTTCTGTGTGGTGTGATAGAAAAATCTGAGCAAAAAAATTGAAATAAGTCAAATGCGGCAGTCATGTCAAATAGGCCAATTGGAAAACAGTTTTTATAGAAAAATGGTTAAAAACAAAAAAATTGTAAGAAACCAATCAAAAAATTTTCAGACATTTTTTCCAATTTTTTTGCAGAAAAATTTTGAATTTTTGAAGTTTTTGATTCCGAAAATGGCGCCAAAAACTCAAGTAAACATAAGTTTTTTTGGCCTAAACTAAAACTAAATACCCTAATGAAAATCAAAGTTTTCAAACCGGTTTTTTTGACACAAGGAAATTTTTTTCAAGTTTTTTTATAGGTCGTTCAAATTACGACTGAAAGGTATTTAGTATGATACTACACTCAGCCCATTCCAATCGCTACTTGTGGTACCTGATTTCGCAAGAAAAACAAAAAGAATAAAAAAAGAAAAAAATCAAATACACCCGAATACAAAGTTTCTCAAGTTTCTCTTTCAAACAAAATTATTCTCCTAACTGACATCAGGATATTAACCAACAAAAATAGAGATTGAAAACATGTTTGAAGCGCAAGATTTGAGATATGAATCTATGTCGAAATAGAACAATTGTCTCAAGTTTTTGTAAACAATTGCTCTTTGAAGTTTTAAAATATGGATTTGAAATTCACTCAAATCATTTTGAAATCAAATCAATCAAGCAAACCTTGTTCTTATATTTTTTACAGACTTGTTAACAAAAAACTTTAAAATCAATTTCAATCAAAGTGAAATTTACCAAAAATTTGTTAAATTTACTAAAATTACTTTAAATCGATCTTTATCGATTTAAGCCAAGATGAAGAACAAAGCGAGGCGTTGTTTTATCACCATGACTAGTAGAAATGCTCTAATCAGCTTTTTTTTACCTCCATGCTTTAGCATGGTCGTTTCATGAAAACCTTTGAAAATTGAAAAACAATTCAGATTTACAAAAAAATTTGATATTGAGTCTTATAATCAAATGAAAGAACCCGTACCGAAAGCCCACGGTTTTAATCGATTAAATAGAAGTTTCTTGACTGAAATTTTATAATATAATCCACTAGATGTAAAATTCAATCCACGAAATTGGTTAAATTGCCGTTATAATCAATTTTTCTTGAAAAAAACTACTCCATGATAAATAATTATAATCGATTCATATCCATTATTTTCGGCACTGGAATCGGTTATTTTTGTCAACATAATCCATTATAATCAATTATTTTTGAAATAAGAATCCATTATAATCCATCTTACAAATGTTTACCACCAAACCCAACCCCCTTCTTTTCAGTTTACAGCTTGCCAATACCCCCCTCCTTCCCGTCAAGTTTTGTACAATGAAAGTGGGGTTACTCAATGTAAAATCCACTTCTTATCACTCCCAGTTCAATCACCCTCTATGTTTTCAATCACCTCACCTCACGTTCTTAATCCTCCCCCACCTTGGTTTAGTAACTGGGAGATGCTGGAGTAAACTAAGGAAGGCGGGTTGTTAAAACACGTTGTGACATTTACGTTGAGTCTCCCCCCTCCCCCTCCGTTCAACAATTTCCTCACCCAGTCTGCCATTAAATGCCCCCGTTCAACCACGAATCCCCTCTACTTGAACGTGAAGGGGGTTGGGCAAATGACATTAGTGAAAGTGAGTTAGTGGCAATTTTTACACATGGCAAAGGTAAAAAACAATAAAATAGAAGGTCAAATGTCAAAACGAAAAAAAAAAACAGAAAAACAACTTATTAATAAAATTTCAAGTGAAAAGTAAGAGTTTATGCAACTTACGTAGTAACTGCATCAAGCAGAATAAAAAGGTAAGTTTGAAAACAATTTGTAAATTTCATTAATAAGCACGACTTTCAATTTTTTCAACAAAACAATCCTAGATAATCGAATTTAACAGACAATATTAGCTTATCTTGACCTAAAAAAAGTTAAAATTATAAAAATTTGGTGCATGTAGACTATTGAGAGTTGGGATAAACGCCAAAAAGTGACAAGGTTCTACTTTTTTAGAAGCTAGCTGAAATTCGTCTAAAAAGTTTGACTAAAACCCCAAAAACACCAAAAAACAACAATGAGATGGCTACGTTATTCAATAAACACAAAAACTAGAGTTTACTGCATTTTCAACAAGCAATTTGACTAAGTTGGAAACCAAGGGAAAATCGCTCAAGAAGAGGGCAACACCCAAAAAAAGACCCCTAAACACAAAATCAACAAAAAAATACAAAAAATCGATACCAAACTGAAACCAAACATAATGTTTTGAGATCTGTATTGGCTGAAAAATTAGGTGATAAACAAAAAACGAATATTTGAGGCCCCACCCAAAAACTAGAAAAAAATCCTTCAAATTCACAACACTTTTTTTTGGAAACTAGCTGAAACTCAACTGAAAACGATTAGTAGGTCCCTTAAACACCAAAAAACAACATCAAACTTGTTACTTCATTGAATAAACACAAAAAACTAGAGTTTGTAGCATTATCAACAAACAATTTGACTGGAAGTTGAAAAATGAAGAAA